AGCACCAAACCAGCACAGCTGGCAAGGGCAGGGCGAGAAGGAATCAGCAAGTGAGCACCGAGCCCTGTGAGAGGGCACAGACTCCAAGACACAGTGAAGGACGTACCCACCTCAGATCCTGCGGTGGGGATGGGGACCACCCAGGGTCACTTCTGTGCTGGTCTGAAGATGTAGCAAGCCATGGCCAGGGCTATAACCTGCAGCAGCCACAAGGCTAAGCCCATCCTTGCGGTAAAACACCAACCATGACCACAACCAACCCACATGATGTGCTCTCCATTAGCATGATGTCAAGCTGGAGAGATATCCCACCAAAGAAGGAACTGAAATTCTGTGGTTACAAAAGGAACCCCTGTGTGCTAAGAAACAGTTTTAAATGGAACATGGGTGTGAAACAGGACATAGGCAAGAAAAGTTTTACAGTGAGGGTGGTTGAGACACTGGCACAGGTTGCCCGGAGAAGCTGTGGATTCCACACAGAATCATAAAACACTTTGTGTTGGAGGACACCTGGAAAGCTCCTTCAGTTCCAACCCCCTGCCATGGGCAGGGACACCTTCCACTAACTACAGCAGCTTGCTCCAAGCCCTTGTATCCAACCTGGCCTTGAACACTGCCAGGGATGGGGCAGCCACAGCTTCTCTGGGCACCCTGTGCCAGTGGCTTGCCACTGTCGTCATAAAAAACTTCTTCCTTTTATCTAGTCTGAATCTACCCTTTCTTAGAATCACAGCATACCAGGTTAAAAGGGACCTCAAGGATCAAGCATCTCCAACTGTAGCAACAGAACAAGGGGAAATGGGTCTAAACTTAAACAGGCGAAGTTCAGGTTGGATATAAGGAAGAAGTTCTTTACTGTGAGGGTGCTGAGGCACTGGAACAGGTTGCCCAGAGAAGTGGTAAATGCTCCATCTCTGGCAGTATTCAAGGTCAGGCTGGACAGAGCCTTGGGTGACATGGTTTAGCGGGAGGTGTCCCTGACCATGGCAGGGGTTTGGAACTGGATGATCTTAAGGTCCTTTCCAACCCAAACCATCCTATGATTCTATGATCCCTTCCAACCAAACCACTGTGAGCCCATCATACAATATTAAATGTCTGTATATCCCTTTGAGTAAGTAACTTCACCTTCTGCATGTGGACCAGGATCATTTTCCCTCTGCTGTGATCAGCCTGGAACAGCATGCAATGTGTAATTAGTCCAGCCAGGAGCTGGGACTTGCATCCGGGCTAGCACCGCCTGCGCTGCTGGTTGCTGTCACAGGGAACAGCCTGTCCCCAGGAAGTTTGGTGACTGTGTCAAATGAATCAGCCAAGCTGGTGGCAGAGATTGGGGCCAGGATCCAGCCCCCGTGCAGCGCTGTGACTGAGTGCTGCTTTCCCGTCCCAAACGCCCCAGCATGGGTCACCCCAGGGGAAAGCAGGGAGAGACTGAATCTCTTCAGGACAGAAGGAATTTAAGTTGATTCTCTGTACCCCCATGCCAGCACCAGTCCAAGGCTGAGCCACGGGGCTGCCTGCAAAGCTTCTCCTGCCTGCACCGGGATGTCCCTGAGCCATCCTCACCAGCCCTCCCAGCAGAGTATGTTTTTTAAAACATAGATGTCAATATTCTGAATTAAAACCTATTTCTTTATAAAAAATAACCTTTTTTTTTTTTTTTTTTGAAATTGAAGTGTCAGGTTTGTGCAAGAACAAGCCTGCAAAGACGCAGCATCCTCTGGCTTTATCCACTGCTCTTGGTCTTTCCTGCTTCGAGTTACAAATACATTCAGTTTTCTAGCTCAGAAATACAGGGGTCTGAGGAGCTGGGTGCCTGTTGAGCTCAGGACCTGTGCATGGGCTGGGGCAGCCATTCCAGTCCTCCAGCCACAACAGCACTGGAGTGATGCAGGCGATGGGGTATTGATGCGCAGGCACTGGGGTACCTGCGTGCTGGATGGTGCTGCAGCAGACGATGCTCAGCCTGGCCCCATGTCACACCCATGTGCTGTGAGCTGCAACAGGCACCTTCTTCACATCCTTGGTTTCTCAATCTTCAGCCAAAATTTCAGGCCCTGGTCCAAAGCCCCTCTCCAGCTTTCCTGTAGCCCCTTCAGGCACTGGAGCTGCTCTGAGGTCTCCCCTTAAGGAACCTTCTCTTCTCCAGGCTGAACCAGCCCAGCTCTCTCAGCTTGTCATATATATATTCTGCATATATTTAAAAAGCCCCCAAACCCTTCCACTCCAGATTGCCCTAAAAAGAAAAGCAGCCCCTAATCTGGTAAAAGAAGAACTATTTTCTTTCCCTGGAGATGGAAATAGGTTCCTAAAAGGGACCTGCTGAAAAGAGATGAGGTGACTCATTTCTTTGCTGCTGAAGCTGCTTTCAATCCCAGGCACCTCTAATTCCAATTAAAAGACAGGAGACTGAAAGCACGGGGGTTCACACAGCACAGGGCACAGGAGCTCATTTTCCTGGAGATGAAAGAGCTGTGAATTAATCCACTATTATCACCCACTCCCCCAGGGTGGGCTCAGCTGCCTTCAGCCCTCACTCCCCACAGCCAGGAGCTATTTTTTCCTGTTCTTGCTAGTGTCAATATGTTTCTTTAAATATCTTTTCAGAGAAGCTATATATATGTATATATATATATATATATCCCCACTCTGGTGCTTTCAAAGGAGCCTCATTTCCTGTGTAAGAACTGAAGTTCTTGGCAAAGCTGCTGGTGGCTGCAGCATCAGAACCACAAAAATTATTTTTTTCAGTAGTAAAATGGTATTTCCTCTGTGACTGCCAGTTGGAGCTGGAGCTGGTCTGAAACCAGTGCGGCTGCTGTGGAGGGCAGATATGGTGCCATATTCCCCATTAGGTAAACAATGGAGGAAAAGGATTAATTGCATTGATGGTGGCAGTTGGGTTGCAACTGTGCCTTGAAGGTGGCCCAGCCCATTGCAGGGATGAGGATGGGCTCAAAGCTGCTTTCAACCTGTATTTAGTTATGAAAAATGCTGGTTCCCACATCAAAAGGATTTACTAACCACACTGGGGAAGGAAAAAAACCCAACAGCCCATTTCATTTGACATCACTTTGTGCCAGATACATTTTTTTCCTCTGCATGGTGTCTGTACACTTGGTTTTTGTGAGGGCACCTCCAGCAGCAGCAGCAGAAGGAAAACAGCTTTCCAGCCCATGAGATATAGTGGTGAGAGGGCTCAAGGACGAGTACTTAAAAACCTTCTGCTACAAATATGTCTTTCCAGGGTACTTTGTGAGTCATAAAGTGCCTTTCTTACTTGTCCAGCGGTAACACAAAGTTTAAGAACCCAGTGTGCAAACATGCAAGAGAAGGTGGTGGCCATGGACAACCCAAGCAGACCGCGTTTCTCTTTGCTACCTGATGACTTTCTCAGAAAAATTGCAGTCAAAGAAGATGAAGTGCATATTTTTTTTCGATTTTCTGGATAAATGTTAGACAGGAAGTGTCTTCTCCCAACATTCCTGAGGGACAGATCCAGTACCTAAAGGGGGCCCATGACAAAACCTGAGAGGGGCTTTGAACAAGGGCCAAGGGGAACGGCTTTAAGCTGCCAGAGGGGAGACTGAGATGAGCTCTTAGGCAGAAGCTCTTCCCTGTGAGGGTGCTGAGGCGCTGGCACAGGGTGCCCAGAGAAGCTGTGGCTGCCCCATCCCTGGCAGTGTTCAAGGCCAGGTTGGACACAGGGGCTTGGAGCAAGCTGCTCTAGTGGAAGGGGTCCCTGCCCATGGCAGGGGTTGGAACTGGATGAGCTTTAAGGTTCTTTCCAACCCAAAGCCTGTGGTTCTGTGAACACCTCCTGGGCACAGTCTCACATCAACCCTTAAATCCTGACGTCTTTCCTTCTGTAAAGGAGGCCCTCAGATTGGTCTCATTTGTCTTTATGTTCATTACCAAGCCATCATGCATTTGCCATTCCCACTCTGGTCTCATCTGGGTCTTGTCCCCTTACTGCCCCCTTACTGCTCCCAGAGCAGCTGATTCCGCTGGCCACCACCTCTGCCCCTCTCCTGCCTATTTCTGTTCCTCTGCTGCAGGAGTTCAGGCCAGCATCACTTCACCTTTACTTTCCAGCCTTGGACACAAAACAGGGCTGAGCTGTCCCCAGCTTCTTCTGCTGCCATCCACCACTCCTCACCCCAGCTGGGGCTTGCCCAGCTTCCCAGTTGCTTCCAAGCACATCCATTCCCTAAATCTCTAGGTTTTCCCCTAAAACACCCCTTCTACTCCCCCAGCTCTGCCACCTCGAGCCATCATTGAAAACACAAGTGAAAGACAGAAGGGCCCCATCCAGACACTCCGGATGCTGCTAAGGAGCAAACTGGACGTGCTTTTCCACACCTCGGTACCACTGCCCCAGAGCCGTGGGCAAGGCAGACCCTGCCCCTCGCCCTGCGCACTCCAGGGGGTCCCAGAGCAGCACTCAGAGGGTCGAAAAACCACGCACGGAACCGCCCCGCGAAGCCTGCAGCCAGCGGAGGCAGAGGCTGTCCGGGTGGCTCCGAGAGGACGCAAAATGGAGCACAGGCCTGGGCTCCAGGTTACAGGGCTCCAGGTTACAGGGCTCCAGGTTACAGGGCTCCAGGTTACAGGGCTCCAGGCCGAGCCCCAGCAGCGACCCCCGCCAGCCCGTACGTGCCTCCGGCCCCAACCATGCTCGCCGCAGCCGGGCCAGCGCTGACCCTCCCTGGCAGCCATGGCAGCGGGCCCGCGTCCGCGGGGGGGCGGAGCCAGGCAGCCCCGCCCCCAGCACCTCCCTTACCTGGGAGAGCCCCGCCCACTGAAGCCTGCACAGCGCACCTGGGCGGCCCCGCCCACCGGCCAAGCCCCGCCCACTTGTGGCAACCCCTTCCTGGCGGCCAGCTCGCGCTAGCCCCGCCCCTTGCGGCTCCTCCTCGCTGACCCCGCCCCCCGCGGGGCACTAGACCGGCTCCAGTTACCTGCTGGCCCCGCCCCCCGCGCTCGGCCCCACCCCGTACCTGGGCACGCTCGAAGCTCTCCCTCTCCGCCTCCAGCCCGCCGCCGCCCGCCCGCCGGCCCAGCACCTTGGGCAGCGGGTTGGACACCTGCTTCATGGAGCTGCTCACGCGGTCCATGGCCCCGCCGCCGCCCCGGCCGCGCCGCGCCCTCGCCACCCCTCGGCTCCGCTCCGCTCGGCGCCGCCGCTGGCCGGACCCCGCGCCATTGGCCCGCCCACCTGCCACTCACGTGCGGGCGCGCCCTGCCTACACCGCCTCGGCCGCGTGGCTCCGCCCTCCGTCCCGCCCGCTCGCTCTCATTGGCCACCAGCGCTGCCACTCGGGGTTGAGCCCCCGGGAGAGCCAGCCCGGCTCCCGCTCACGTGACCTGTGCCGAGCTCATTGGCGCCGTCAGACGCCGCTCAACGCCGGCTCCCGCCCCTAAAGGACGGCCCCGCCCGCAGCGCGCCTCGGCTCGGCTCGGCTCGGCTCGGCTCGGCTCGGCTCGGCTCGGCTCGGCTCGGCTCGGCTCGGCCCGGCTCGGCCCGGCCCGGCCCATCCTGCTGTGCCGGGGGGCACCGCCCCTTCCGCTCCGCAGCGGGGGTTCGGGCCGGACCGCGGGGCGGTGAGGCCGCGGTTCCGGCTCAGCCCCGGGACTGAGCGAGCCCCTTGGGGCTCGGGGCGCGCGGCGCGGCTGGAGCCTGCCCGGGCGTGGCCTCGGGGGTCCCACAGCCCCAACGTGCGGCCTGCGCGGCTCCTGCTGTGCTCAAGCCCTGCTCCGGCCCCGCAGTGGCATGCGGCAGCGGTGCTCCGCAGCCTGCCCAGGGCAGCCCATCCTTCCATCGTCCCGCCGCCTTCTTGCCTCTCCCCGGGCTCAGGACCCCGCGTGCACCGTGAGGGCTGAGCTGCGCTCCTGGCATCCTGTGTTGCGGCATTTTCCCAAGCTTCGCTTCACGAATGGGTGCATTCACGGAACCACTGACCGGTTTGGGTTGCACAGGACCTTAAAGCTTACCTGGTTCCAACCCCTGCCGCGGGCAGGGACACCTTCCACTAGCGCAGGTTTCGACAAGCCCCGTCCAGCCTGGCCTTGAGTAGTCTGGGGCTTTGCAGCCCTGCCTGGGGCAGGGAGGAGGGGAGCAGGAGGCCCTCCTGGGCTGTTGGTGTGGACAGGGTGGCCGGCAGCCTGTGGAGAGTTATGTGGGCCTTCCTCTTTCGTGTCATCCTGGCTGTGGATGAGGCGCTCTGGTGTGGTGTGCAGTCGGGCAGACAGCAGCAAGAAGGATGGGTCATTTCTGTGCTACCACTGGCAGAGGCGAAAATTGGTTACACATGTTTGAAAAACAAGGAAAGAAGCAGGAAAAGGTTTTTGCATCCCCTGAGCAGCTGGCAGATCGATGCTAAGCTGTGCTTTGCATAAACTGATTCTCTGGTCCCTTCACTTAGCAGAGCTTTGGGCTGGGACCTTATCTCTGCCTTCTTTCAACTCAGTGAATTGCTAGCTGTGCCAGCTCCTGTAGTTCTGACCAGGAATCCCATCCCGCTCTGGAGGTGAATTTCTCACTGGGACCTTTGCCAGAACTTGGAACATTTCTGCAAAATTCAGAAAACTCAGTGTATTTGCAAAAAGACTGAAAACTCTCTGGGTCTGCTCCCAGTTAGTGATGGCAAAAGGGCTGTGCTGTCCTCCTGCATCCTTAAAGCAGGACATACAAAACCAGTGGCCTTGCCAGCACTGGTGGGGAACATCTGTGGAGAACTACCCTCCCTGCTGCTGCTAGGGGTGATGGGGCAACCTGGGAAGGATTGCTGAGCATGTGGGCTGTCAGGAGCTCTTGTGCAAGCCATTAAATCATTCTCCATACATAACTCACTTCTGTGGCTTATTTTTCAGTCAAAACATTTGCCATGCCAGCCCCGCTTATGGCTGTGCTGGGGTTATCAAGTGCATGGCTGACGGGAAGCAGGCTCCACTGTTCAGTGAGGCCACCTCCAGCTTGTCTCGTCTCCCTGTCTGCCTTCTCTCTAATGTACTTTCTGGAAACCTGCCTCTTCCGTTGGGGCTGGTCCCAGAGGAGGTTTAATGGATTTAATCCAGCCACTATTGCAGCAAGGTGTTTAATAATTGAAAAAAAATGAAGTCATTGCCAAATGGAGACGGAGGTGAGAAAGAACAGAGGAGGGCATTTGATGGAGGACAGCAAGGTCCTTGTCATCTGCCTCCCACACCTCTACCTGGCTCAAAGCCTCCTGCTCCTGCAGAGGGACAGAGCAGGGAGGCTCAAAGCCTTCCTCTTCAGGGCGCAGGCCTGGATCCAGGAGGTCTGGACCTCTGCCCCAGGGCAAGCGACCACTGGACTGAGACCTGGGTTAGCTTTCTCCCTTACTGAAGAGCAGAGCCACATCCTCTTCCTCCACAGCCAGGGCGTTTTGAGCCTGGGCTGGGCAACTGAGAGGCTCCTCTTGCCTGGGCAGGAGTGGAGGAAGGCGGCTGGTTGTGGAACAGCTGTTTCTACACAGGGGCTATGACAGGATGGAGGTGGGATCCAGCCCACAAGTCAGAGCACCCTGGGCTGGCCCAATCCCACAGTGGCTCTGTGGGGTTGTGCCTTGGGGCTCTGGCCCAGGCTCAGCTGCTCTGCAGGGATTTGGGGGGCTGCTTTCCAGTAGAAGAGGTTGTCTTGTTTTGAGACACGTTGAGATATGCTCTGGGAGAGGAGAAGGTACCGGGCTGCCCCTCTACACCAGGTACCATGGGGAGATGACAGGGAAGGGCTAGCAGTGAGCAGGGTGGAGGGAAAGCAGGTTGGGCACAGCTCCTCTCACTCTGCAGGTCCTTTCTGGAAGCCATGGCTGGCTTTGCCCCAACAAAAAAGGGCCAACTTTTGGCATTCAGCTGCACTAGGGGAGCAGGGTGCTGCCTTACCTTCCACCACTGCAGCCTCACCCCCTGAGGGAGGTGGGGGATCCCAAGAAGGACGCACAGCTCTCCTCAGACCTGCCCATTGTGCCAAGGGGTCTTTTTTTGAAAGGGTCAAAATCACCACAGATCCAAGTCGGTTTCTGTCTATTGATGGTAGTCTCTATAACTTTCATCTGCTCAGGTGCTCTGTCCTTGCTCCTGTCTAAGAGGCTGGACTGCACCGTGGAAGCAAAGGGTGAGGGAAGAGCCTGTCATGGGGGTGTCTGGTCTACGTGGGGACAGGCACTGTCCTTCCCAGTGCCACCCACCTGCTACAGATGCTTTCCCATTTTGGGGGCAGGAGTCCTTGGCTTGGGCCATGGAGCATGGTCACCTTCCTTGCTTTCAGTAGCAACCTGGGTTTCTGCACCCGAGTTATCTTCTGCAGGCTGGAGACCACAGGTATGTTGTCTGCTAGGAGATGGGGAGGGTGCTGTGACCCCTCTCTCCTTCCCTTCGGGACACCAAGTGATACCCATCAGGCACTGTCGCCGGCTGGGCTGGTCTGTCCCCAGCTGTGGGGCTCTGCAGGGCAGCCTTCCCTTGCTGCTCGCTCCCATCCTCCCTCTCTGCCAGGAGGTTGTGTCTCAGCTTGGTCTCGTCTCAAAGGAGCTGCCAGCAGAAGAGAAGAGGTGGGAGGAGGGGGGCTGAAGGGGCTGCAGGGGCTGTGGGCCACAGTCAGGGTGGAGGGATGCTCCTTTCCCAGGGTGGGGGGCTGGAGGGCCCCTCTCCAACCCCTATCCCCAGGCAGAGCTGGGAGAGTCCCAGGGTGCTGCTGCAGCCCTCCTTACCCTCCCATAGCCTGGCTCGGGCTCAGGGCGAGCACAGATCCCCCTTGTTTCAGCAAGAAAATAGAGGCACAGAGTGCCACAGTCCTCCTCTGTTACCCAGCTGGCTGCTCGGAGCAGGCGGGCACAGGGCTCTGTGCAAAGATCTTGCTCTCTTTTACCTTCGGGAGGTGAGCTCCCAAGTGGATCCTCTCCAGTCATCCTTTTAGGCACCCCGGGGCATAAACCTCGGAGCCCACCCAAGCAGATGAGGTGCCCGTGGAGGGCAGGTCTCCTGGAAAGCCACGCAGGCGGAGGGCGCTGTGAAGCCTTCCTCAGTTGCAGTCCTGCAGCCACAAATACAACCCTGCCCTGGTGACAGGGCTGTTCGCTCAGACCCTGCAACAAAAACATCCTATGTGCCAACATGCCGCTCTGGTGCTGGGGGCGGGCAGGGTCTGGGGTACATGGGGTGGCCCGGACCCACAGGAGGGTCTCTGGCAAAGCAAAGAGCACCCGGGGCAGCACGTTGCCCTGGCAGTAGCGTGCATGGGGGTGCAGGGGTGGGGTGTGGGGGAGATTTTCATCGTTGGATCCCATTTTTTTGAATGCTCTGGGCAAACCAAATGCTGCTGCCGAGTCCTTGTCTGCTGCTGCCAAAGAGCCCAGGGCTGCTATATGGGCAAAGGGAATGGGCAGGAGAGCCAGCTCCCACACAGGAGAGCTTTGGAGGCAAAGCAGCTGCTCGAGAGGGGACTGGGAAAGGGTCCTGGAGGGAACTGCTTAGTGAAGGAGCATGAGAGTCCATGGGGCCGTTGTCTCTGTCCTGGGAGAGGTCCCCTGCTTGCCGGGGTTTACAAGGAGGGATGTAACCCCCAACATCCCCAGGTATGTGCTCCGCACTAAAGCCTCAGCAACTGCCTCTGCTTGTCCAAGAATTCAAAAGCAGAGCTGAGCACAGCTTGCAGCCAGATCTACAGAAGACCTGAACCCAGCAGGGACCTTGGGCCACTGCGGCAGTGGTGGCTGTGCAGGGGAGAAGCTCCCTCTGGAGCACTGTTTGGAGGTGGGAAGTGTTTGCCCCACTGCGCGGGCAGCAGGTCCAGCTGGAGCACTGCCCCAGCCCCGCTCACAGCCCTGGGTGACCCTGGGCACAGCTGCCTGCACCAGGAGCAGGAAAGCAGCACCTTTCCAGGTGGGAATAGCTGGTCTTTCCCACGGTAGGACATCCAAGCTTGCTTTGCTTTTATGTTATGAGGCAGCCTTGGGCTGCCAGGATGTGATGATCACTGAGGAAAGGTTTTCTGGGTATGACTTGGGCTGTGCAGGGTTGGGTGTAGGACCGCTGTGCTTGCTGCGGAAGAGCATGGGTAGGGAATGAGGCAGGGCCTGCAGGAAGGGCTGTGGATCATTGAATAGTCAAGCATCAAAAGGAGCGTGATCAGCAGGTCAAAGGAGGTGATCCTGCCCCTCTACTCTGCTCTTGTGAGACCTCACC